TCTCTCTCTCTGTGTGTGTGTGTGTGTGTGTGTGTGTGTGTGTTGCTATGGGGTCAGCTCTTTCCTCTAGAATATAGAAGTGGAAATGTCAAGATCAAGGCTGCTGCTAAGAAAAAGGTATAGAAAAACCATGGAGAATCACAGATTAGCCGAGGCTATGTCTCAGGCTTCAGGTGCATGTGTGTGTAATATTCTCTCTCTCTCTCTCTCTCTCTCTCTCTCTCTCTCTCTCTCTCTCTCTCTCTCTCTGTGTGTGTGTGTGTGTGTGTGTGTGTGTGTGTGTGTGTGTGTGTAGCTAGGACAGGAGCAGTCCATTGGGAAGCAGAGAGTAAAAGTCCAGTACATCCTAGGCCAGAAATCGCCTCTAGCTCCAAGTCTGGGCAAAACATGGCCTTTGGGATGATGTCTATAAACTATGACTGGCCCTTGTCTGAGGGAATGGCTTCAAGGGTCCTAGGGATACTTCGTACATTTGGATATCTTCTCCAAAGTAATCTGCATGTTCCATTTCTTAGGTCCAGCAGGACGACACACACATCCGTGAGAACAGAGACTGGCAGTTCTCTTTTGTCCCGTCAGCACTGGTCATGGTGTTGAGCACAACTTAGCATGTGGCACTGCCCCAGGGGGTGCAGAGTACATTGGACAGTCATGACAAGAGAGAAAGGGGCTGTGGCACAGGAGTGGCTTCATGGCACCACAGGACTTTCTAACTAGATCAGGGTAGCTTGAGTCCCTCTTGGTCTTCCCTGTGGAAACCTTCACTTAGAAATGTCTAGGGTTGGTCCCTTCAGGCAAGCCCTGTCACTGCTCATTCGCATGGTGGAACTCAGGAAGGAAGAGTGGATTTAGGAGCATGTCCCTCCAGCGGGGCATCCCACTGTAGAATAACTCGCTCCATTTTGATGAGATAGAAGTCAAGGTGCCTGGTTGTGAGGTGGGTTGTCCAAGGTCACACAGTGATTGAGAGTGTGAATGTCCTTATTCTCTGAGTACGTGTATTTATACCGAGTCACGGGACAGAGCAGAAGCTGGAGGAGGGTCTTACCCTCCTGGCTTTGAACAATGCCACCTGACACTCATTATCAGTTATGGCAGCTTCAATGGCAATTCAGCCTGTCACATACACACGAGTTCCAAGGAGGACAAGGCTCTGAATAGGAGGAGCAATCGAACACAATTGGTTCTACATTATTATTTTTTTAAATGGACTGTACCCGGTGTCACACTGGAGACCTTTAGATTACTTCAGTTTCAAAACTGCCTTGCAAACATTTCTTATAATTGTCTAGCTCATTGGCTCAGCCAGCTGTCTCTTTAGATGTCCCTTTGCCTAACTCCCGGAACTTCACCTTTCCCCTTCAGCCTCTGGAAGCTGTCCTTGCCCGGTCACCCTGGGGGGATCCAGCACTGGTGCTAGCATACTTGCATCTCTCATGGCTCTAATCCTACGGACAGAAAACTAGATCATGGCAAGTCCTGGGGCTTGTGTTCATTGGCAGGGACCTGTGCCCTGACTGAGAGTTGGTTTGGCCTATGGCTCCATGAGTTCCCAAGCACAGTGTACCAAGCTCGCAACACTCTGAAATTATGCAAGGGCCACGGCAGTTTCTGCTTTTGCAATTGCCCTGGGTCCGTCTCTGCTGGCCTCTCACCATCTCACACCAGCACACCTCTGGCGGCCTTCTGCCCCTCTCTCTGATTATTCAGATTGCTTGTCTCTAAGAAGCTGCTTTCATGTGCTGCCTCTCCTACAAACAATCTGTATTGGTTCCTTATGGTTTACCCACTAGTGCCATGCTTCTGGTGGGCCTTTGAGAATGCCCATGAGCTTTCTTCTACTTATTCTCTATTTTCTTTTTCTTTCTTTTTCCTTCCTTCCTTCCTCCCTCCCCCGCTCCCTCCCTCCCTCCCTCCCTCCCTCTCTCTCTCTCTCTCTCTCTCTCTCTCTCTCTCTGTCTCTCTTTCTCTCCTTCTCTCCTTCTCTCTTTCCTTCCTTTTTCTTCTTCCCACCCTCCTCCAGATAGGATTTCTCTGTGCAGCCCTGGCTGTCCTGACATTTGCCCTGTAGACCAGACTAGCCTTGAATTCACAGAAGTCAGCCTGCCTCTGCCTCTGAGTCCTGGTATTAAAGGTGTGCACCCCCACCACTCAGCTTACTTTCTATTTTCTTACTTGAAAACAAACAAACAAACAAATAAACTTTGCATCTCTAGTTTCCAGAGCCAAGAGCCCACTCATTCAGGCATTCAGATTGTCTTCTTCTGTCTCCTCCATGAAGCTCCCATGCCTGTAGGTTGGCTGCCAAACCTCATCTATCTGGAGAGGAAACTGAGCCCCCCCCCAAGACGATTATCGCCAGATAGAAAGTGGAAGCAAGATTTTCTAACCCTCGGAAAGATTTCTTTGTTCTCTACTTGGATGAAGACGGGATACTGGCCTGGAGAAAAAGAGACCAGGAAGATAAGAGCTACATCCCCTGTTCCCCAGGAAGATAAGAGCTGCATCCCCAGTCCACTTGGTTTTATTGTGTCCTTGCAATCAGAACAACACAATTAAGGACTTAATAATAAGCTGCTCTGCACTCTTATTTAATCAGTTCTAAACTAGACTGTCAGCTCCTTGAGGGCAGGGAAAATCCCGTAGGCTCTGGGACCTGTCTTCTCTTCGCACAAAGCTGGGCACATGGAAGTACATCCCGGTACGGCCAGAACCTTTGGCAGCAGAGAAAGCTACAGGAGTCTTTCTCTGCTTGGATGCACGCAAGGTGCACGAGTGAGTGTGTAAGGAATGACGGTTCTGGTGAAGATCCAAACTGGTTAACAATGGTTCCAGGCCCCATGGTTCTGCAGTTTTTTTGCCTTGCTGTCTGTCCTAGGAGGGGAGGCAGCCTTGGCTGAGTACTTGACCCAGTCAGTGTGCTTCATGACTGTGAGGCTATGGTCCTATATCAGGGACCCTGTCTCAGCAGAGAAAGGTAATGTCTTGGGCACACGCTGCCCGCTTCATCTCCTGCCCTGGTTGCTGTTCTTCCTGGCATCCTCTGATGCTCTCTTTCACTTCTATCCTGCCGTAAGAAAGCCAGCTTCTTAGCATGAGCCCATTCGGAGAATTTCCCTACTCAAGGCACTGGTGTTAGGCTCCTGGGGTCTGAGCTAGAGTGCTGACCTACTCCTTTAGTCTACCAGCGTCCCATAGAATGGGTGGGAACTACAGAGAAGGCTTCAGTTCTTGGTACCTGGCAGCTACTGAGCCTCGGCAGCTTCCTGTCATTTTGGTGAGATTGGTACCCAGGAAGCTAGGGAAACAGAAGTCTTGTTTTGATCGGGCCAAGGTGCATTCTTTTTCCCTTTCTTCACACTTGATGTCCAGATTTAAAAGTGTGTCCTTGGCAGAGCTGTCTAAACAGACTTGTATGCTGGCAAAGTGCTGAAGGCACCTGGGAGGGGTCATGAGTGGAAAGGTGGCACTGTCTTGGCTCCAGGGGCCGAGTCTTTTGTGACTGATACATCCACACCCCCACCCCCACCTTCACTTGGCACACATCTAAAGGACACTACCGGCATGCCAGGCCTTTTCTGGGCTTCAGCTCCTTACCTCTGGAGCCTCAGGCACAGGGGATGTGACAATACCTGTGTTGGCTTCCCAGTGGGTAGAAGTTAGTTGGGGTCACTGGGGGAGAGAAAATGGCTGCTTATATCTGTCTTGCCACTCACCTTTGCACAGCCTGGGGCGTGTGTGTTTATGTGCCCTTACACTGACACCTGTGACTTCTTCGGGACCTTCCCTTTCCAAACCTGGGAGGTACCAGAGTGCATGGGGGACCACTGTGTTCCCATTTTCTCAAAGAGAAATCTAAGGCTCATATAGTAAGTTACCTGCAGCCTGTCTGGGAGTCAGTCTCATCTGCACCCCAGCCCTGCTGGTATTATGACTGAGGCCAAGCAGGCTATGTTAGCCATGAGAAGGCTGTGGAAATGTGTCCTCTCCAGTGTCTGAGGAGGAGTGCTCAGAGAAGCTGGGGGAGGGGCGTGGCTGGGGACATCTTTTGCTCCATCACTGAGATGGCAAGGCAGACCAAGCAATTAACCACCAATGAAGACAGACCAGCAGGGTGGCATTCCAGGGTACTCTTGCCCAGATTGGCCTCAATTATAGGGCACAATTACTTGCTGAGGTGTTGTAGGGTAGTTGCCTGTACATGCCATGCAAAGTTTTGGGGGTGCTCCTTGGCTGATGTGTTTACTTCTGGGAGACCACATCTGAAGCCAAAACCTCCTTTAGAACATTCATCCCAATCACTCACAAGAAATACTGCCCTTTGGCCTCAGCCTCCAAGGCTCATGGGTGGAAGTCAAAGTTCTGATTTTTCCAGTGAAGACACACAACTTTGGTCCTGCCCCAGAATCTACCTTAGCTTCAGTGTGAAGGTCTGTAAGGCCTCACCTCGGTCTTGGCTTTCTCCGTCTGGGATAGAAATGTCTCTGTCTCCCTGAAGGTAGACGAAGAACTGGTAGCGGTGTAGACCAGTGGTCGGTGGTGGGGTAGGAGGCTGGTAGTCTGTAGGAAAAAGGACAAGAGACATGAGGGGGTTCACCATCATGCTTGCAGCATCTCCTGACAGCTCTTTAAAAAAAAAAAATCACCTTTGTTTTTCCATCCCTGGTGACCTTCCTAGGGTCATCCAAATGAAGTCACACCCATTTCACCACTCCCTCCCCCATTAGGACTTATGCTTGGTGGGATCTCATTTTTGGTGTTTTATTTAAGGTATATGTTTGGGATAAGTAGGGGTGTTTTTGTTGGGAGTGGGGCTTCAGGTTGGCAAAAAGGGTTGAGGCTCCCAGGCCTTTCTGGGCCAGTAGATGAGTGTTGGTGGTGTTCTGTTTTTGGTTTTAGTCTATCCAGATGGATTCTCTGCCTCAAGAGAAAACCCATCTTCCCCTATGAGTGTGTTTGGCAGTGGGTTTTAATATTCTTTTCAGCATTTCCTTATGAAATCAATCCCTAAAGAGGCCAGTTTCTTGGCTGGTTTGGGAAGATCTGGAAGTGTTTACCAGGGTGGGTGGACTGGGTTCAAAAGGTTTGATCAGAGGCACTGTAGAAGCTGGGAATCCCAGGGAACTGAGGAGAAGACTCTCTCCCTTTCACTCTACCTCTTGGAGGCTGGCTGTTTTGGAGGGTAAGGTCATAGGGTGAAGGCAGCCATCCTCTTTGTCCCATGCCCATGCAGCAACTGGGGACTTGGTTGTCCTGGCCTAGGTCTTCTAGGCCGGAACTCCTTCCAGTGTTGCTTTGCCCCTTCCCACTGTTCTCTCTCCATTTCCCTTCTCAAGGAGGATACACAAGCTGGAGCCAAGAGTCTTCCTGGGTTGGGGGTGGTGGTGGGCGGGGGGGGGGGAGGGAAGGGAAGGGATGATTGCAAGGAGGATGCTAGTGGGTGGGAACGCTGGCTGATCATGACCCTCCTTCTCTTTTCCTCTCTTAACCATGAGACAAAAGAGGGAATGACCGTTTGGCACTGTTGGAAGTGTTTCTCATAGAGTGCTTCCAGCCACTGGGCCACCAGCATACCGAGAGCCAGGGGATTTCCTGACTGACTGTTCATCTTTCCCATCACAGATCAGATCAGATTGTGTGTGTGTGTGTGTGTGTGTGTGTGTGTGTACAATGGGGGAAAGGAAAAAAGTGTGCCAAGAGTCATGTGCATTTGTGTGGCTTGGGGTCTACCAGGGAACAGGTGACAGCATGCCAGTATTCTGAGGTTATTTTGGAGCTTCTGAATTTTGGTAAGTTAGGGATTCCTCACAAACACTTCTAGGGCTAAGAAAGATTTCTGAGCATGGGGTGTAAAAAGATTGTCCCTTCTTATAAATGGGTGTGTGGAAGGCAGATGAATCTGGTGGCTTCTGTCCAGGCTGGTGGGTTTGGGGTATATTCCTCATGGCCAAAGACAGGTGGCCAGAATTCTCTGTGGACAAGACGGAAATTAAGAATTTAATTCCAGGGGAGTTTACCCCTCTTGCTAGGGATTTCCTGAAGACCTCCCATTCAAATCCTCCAGAAATGAAGATTTGGGAGTGGGCATTGGGTACCCCACATGTTGGCTAGGTGTACAGTGGACAACTTCCTTCCATCAAGGTTCATTTTTTATGACGAGAAAGCTGAAATTGAAAAGTGAGACTGTGCCTATGCTTTCCAGACTGTGTGGGACCATTTGTATTCAGTCTTTTGTCTGTGGCCAACTCATCACCTGAGCATCTAAGGCACACCTTGGGGATGGGGACCTCAGAGGGAATCTGAGGTCTGGGGGTCTGGGGAATTTGGTCATGAGTGCCCTACCAATGAGTGCACTACCCAAGGATATAGTGAGCTAGACTCTTGACTGGCCTCTTGTTTTCCCAGTTACATGACAAGGGGGAAGCCCTCTCTCCACCCCTAACCCACACTTCAGCTTCTTTAGAATTAGACCCTGGGGCTGGAGGTATGGCTCAGTTGGTAGAGCACTTGCCTAGCATTCTTGAAGCCCTGGGTTCCATCACCTGCTTGGCATAAACCAAGCATGATGGTGCATGCTTGCAATCCCAGAACTTAGAAGACAGAGGCAGGAGGATCAGAAGTTCAGTATCATTCTTGAACTATGTCAAATTTGAGGCCATCTTGGAATACATGAGACCCTGAGTCCAAAAAAATGCTATGACATCAGAACCTACAGGGGACCTTTATAGCTGGTATTTGTACACATTGTGAGTCAGTGTTACAATTACTCTTTCTTACATCTGTCATTAATGTCCTGTCTAGAGAAGAGGAGCTGGAGGAACCCACTCACCTGTTATTGTATTGCCACGAATATTCCCACTTTTCATGTCAGCACCCTAAAAGGAGAAACAGGAAAGACTGTGGCTTACTTTCTGAGTAGTGATGGTAAAGGTTGACTCTTGCTTCAGCAAGCCCTCTGGGTCCTTAGCCGTTGACCTTTCTCTGGGAGCAGGATGGAAGAGGGTTGTGGCTGCCTCTAGGAGAGGACTTTGGAGATGGAAAATGGTGCTTCAGGGATCCCCGGGGGAGAGGAGACTAGATGTAGGGTGTCAAGGGGTGGGAGGTGTCCTGGAGGCAAAGAACAGATACCTGATCTCTGAGGGATCCTGAATGGGACCTTCCCCAAGGGCTGCCTCAGGACCACCATCTGCATCTGAGATTGGGTGCAGGATGTAACTGTGGGGTGCTCGGCCTGGCTGTCCTTAGCAGCTGGCTAGTTAACTCGGTTTTGTAGGAGGGAGGACTATGCTCCCTCTGGACCTTTTAAGCCTATGAGGCAAGGAAGCAAAGGGAGGTCGAGGTGGGGGTGGGGAGAGAGTGGACTGCCTTAACTGGACCCAGCCACAGCTTTGGGCCACCTTTCTAGCCTCAGTTTCTCTCTGCTTCCCTCTGCCCTCCTTCCTTCCACTCCATGTCTGTGGGATAATGAGTTGCTCCCGGAGGCGGGTAACTAATTATTGTTTTTGCAGGACTGGTGGATGCTTAGATGAAAGAGACTGGAACCAGGCCCCTGGGTCTGTGCCACAGCTCGGGGCCCCAGGCCATGCCAGGGAGCCCTGCGGGCCCCTAGGTGTGGGGTTTTATAGCCTTAATGATGGTGATTAGTGTGGTTCTTAATTGATTCTGCCAACACCTAACTGTGCCCTGGCCCCCTTTCCACCCAGTCCTTCCTGGGGGCAGTCTATGCCTCTCACTCCCTGAAAGTGGAGACAGGGTGGAGGAATGGTGGGGGCGGGGAGGGCTGTACCCTGGTTAACTAAGTGCCCATTCTAGGACCAAGAAGGGACACTGATGGGGGTGGGGTGGGTAGGCACTTAATGTCTTCTGCTTTAGGCTATGCTTGTCCACTCTTCACTGTGGGTCTCCTTGCCCACGCCCCTTCCTTAGGCTCAACTATAAGGGTCTAGGTCATCTTTAGTTGGGAGAAGGGTCAGCAGGCTAGAAGGACAGAATCCTCTACCATAAGTCCACTGCATCTTCTTTCTTCTCTTCCTATCCTTCGCGCACGTGTGTGTGTGTGTGTGTGTGTGGGTGTGTGTGTGTGTACTCGCGCCCATGCACATGCGCATGCTCATGTGCATGCATGTATCTCCCTCCCTCTTTCCTTCCTTCTCTCCCTTCCCTATTCCTGCAGAATCTGATGCCCATGGCAGCCTGCCTGGGTGCCTTTCTCGGTGCAATTTCTTAGTTCCTCCACTTTGGGTTGGCATCAGACCCAGATGTGTCCAGAAGCTGAGAGGCTGATGCTGAGGTGGGAGAGGGCGAAGGTAGGAGTTTTGGAGCCTGGAGGCTTTTCTCTTCAATGCCTGGCCCTTCCAGGAGGGGAGGTCAGGACCCAAGAGACGCCTAGAAGCACCCTCCTAAAATAGCTCTCTTGACTACCCGTAACAAGGTGGGGAGGAGGCCGGAAAGCAGCCCTGCAGCCTGCTCTCTTTTCTCTGGCCTCCCCCTCATTCTGCTTCAAGGCAGCCCAGCCAGTAGTTTGTTTAAACCAAACAATAGCAACCTAGGCCAGGCCATTTCTTTTCAATTCCCTATGGGCTTGGGTCCCACCCAGAGCAATAAACAGGCTTCTCTCCTCCAGAGAGGGCAAGGAGGCAGTGAGAGTTGGGGCTGGGCCTTATGGGCCAGGAAGCTGCTGTTGTGGAATCAGAGCTGAGCCCAAGTGGAAAGTCTGACTTGAAGCCTTGTTCAGACCCTGAGAGTATCTTCTCACTAGCTAGGGGTTCTTTGCAAAAACTGGATGCAAACCCTTGGGTTGGGCTTACAGAATCATGCCTTCTGCCCTTCTTGCCTTCCTCCCTTGTTGCCTCTCTGTGCCTGTGTTGCTCTGGGTGTTAAGGACATTTAGCCTAAGCTGGTCCTACAGATAGAAGCCACTCTTGCTGTCAGGAAGGGTAGAACATGATAGTGGGGGACCCATATTCAGTGAGTGGAGAGTGTGACTTACTTGGGTTGGGTGAGCATGGTTAAGTGTCCTTAAGCTGTACTCCCTCCTCAGGTTAATCCTGAAGGGGCTGACCTTCCTACCTTGGGGTCAACACCAGTAGGGGAAGCTGAACTCCAAACGCTTGAGAAAATTGGAACCCAGAGAAGCTAAACTAACAGTCTCAAGTCATTTGAGTAATGGGTGGGAGAGCGCCAGAGTGATGGGGACTAAGGGACCCTGGGACTCCCAAGGCCGACTAATCGAGGGCTCACACCTTTTAGCCCATATGGCTGCCTTGTGCCTTTTCATGATGTCTTGGCAATCCCATTGCCTCACTGGTAAGCATTGTTTTTCAGTCAGCCATTATTAGACACATGGGCATCGGATGAGGGTGTAGCCCAAGAGAATGGGGTGCTTAGCATGTGTGGGGAGTTGGGCTAAATACTAACCCATAACCAAACGGAACCAAGTAGTAGCTGGAGACCTGGGGCTACAATGGAAATGGCTCCCATCCCATCCCACCCCACCCCACCCCACCCCACCCACCCCACCCCACCCCACCCCATCCCATCCCATCCCATTCCATCCCAGCTTTCCTAAAATATCATGGTAGAAAATCATATCCAGGCTGGAAAGCTGGAATGTTGGAGGATGGTCCAGACTCAGTAGGAGAATATGAGAGGGATGCTGAGCAAGGCCAGCTCTGCTCTAGAGGCTGGGCCAAGAAGGGGCCCTGGTGGGGGTGGCACAGACACTATACTTGCAATTTTGAAGAAGGACCTGCAAGAGGCCAGGGACCACTGAGAGCCCCAGCATCTCTCTCCTCTTTCTGATGGCCCCCGACCTGCTGGCTCCACCTGCTGTGGTAGACCCCAGGTGTTCTTGGTCTTATTTGAGACCCAGCAAACCCAGCCTAACTTTCTTTCCCTTTTTGTACCTGAAGACAGATTGAATTGTTTTACAAGAACTTTTCTAAGTGCTTAGTTAAAAAAATAATTATAGAAATTACAAATATCATAGATGCGGGTGGATTTCTGACCCTCAGGAACAAGGGTCAGAAGCCAAGATGGGCTTTTCAGAGTGGCAGGACTAGGGTCCCTTTAGGTGAGTTTGTGTCATATACTTGGGGGACATTCGGGAACTCACCTAAGTGTCAAGAACAGATGGTGCAGGGAAGCAACTTTTTTTCCACAATCAGTATCTTCCTAGGAAAGGGAATCTATTCTCTGTGGGTATCCAAGGTGTGAGGAGCTGTGGCAAACGTCTCTGTAGGGTAGACCCTGTGTGTGCAGGATGTAAGAGCAGTAGTTGCTCTTATGTGTATACGTGTGCACATACTGATGTGAATGCAAACGTGTGTATGCCGTAGGATGCTGGGTACACACGTGGCTACTTGGCATACGAATTCCAAGCACTCTACAACTGGACAACACTCTGGCCCTAGCACAAATGACTCTCACTGCAGAGAAGGCTCTGAACTCTGGGAGCACATGGGTGTCTCTGTATTTGTAGATGTGAAGTTTCCTTTTGCTGGCTTCCCTCTTTGTATTCACTGTTCCCCTGTTGAGCTAGCTTAGAACTTGGAGATATTTAGAGAAAGCTGGGGCTTGACTGAGAGCCACAGGAACCAAGAAGACTTTAAACATCTTAAAATGCTTCTGGATAATTTGTCTCAGGTTAAAAAGCATGGTGCTGGAAGTGTGCGTCCGTCCGTCCGTCTGTCTGTCTGTCTGTCTGTCTGTCTCTAGCTTCCAGGGCAAGGACCACCTCCTGCTTTAGCTTCAGATGCCCCCTGTGATATCTTGCACACAGTAGGTGGGCAGGGATGTTGCTCCTCTGCCCTTTGCTACCCTACTCAGGCCTCCTCATCTACACCCTCTATTTCCTCTCCTTACAAGTGACACTTGTGTGCTGTCCTCTCTGAGACCTGTCACTTTACCTCACTCAGAAAGTCTACCAGATAAAGGCTCAGCTCTTGATTTGGTTCTTGAATGGGTGGGCGTGGAAGGGGGCCTGGCTGTTGCAGGTCCCAGCAGGCTTGCTGTCCTGCTGGCCTTATTCTGCTGCAATTATCTACAGGCAACTAGCCACCCACTCGGGACCCTTGCAGAGCTCCAGGTCCTCGGGCTACCTGACCTCCAGGGAGAGAGTCATGCACATTTCCTCTAGTGCTCAGGAGATGGTTTAATCTCTTCACCCACCTCTTCTCGTTTACAAGGAGGATTCAATCACTTCTGCCTCACTAGGATTCCCTCTGGCAGTGAGGGAAGTTTCATTGGTTTTTTTGTTTGTTTGTTTTTGTTTTTTGCTTTTTTCCATTTCAGGGAGAGTGGAGGGTATCAAAAGAGGCCCAAATTTGAAAGGCAAGGCACAGAGAGATAAGGAAGTGTAGCAGGAGAAACGGAATACTTGTGTAGAAAATGGAGAAAGACAAACCCTCCAAACAAATAAACAAAACAAAACCACAAAAATCAAAAAACAAAACAAACACACAGACAAAAAACAAACAAACAAAAAACACCAACAAAACAAAATAAAACAAAACACCAGAAAAAGGGAAACTAGAAACAGAGTCCAGACTCCCTGACACTGGCACGGGATGAGAAAGCTCCTTGCTGTTTTGCACAGCTGCCTGCAAGCTGCCAAGTGGCAAAGGAGCCAGGAAAAGGCACAACACTGGAAAGTGCTACCCAGCAATCTGTGTATGCTGCAATTAACAAGGGCTAAGTGAGTGGAAGGCATTGACAGCTCCCAGGCTCTGAGATCCCCAGGGGCTGTGGCTGCCAGGCCACCAAATGGCAGCCTGGAGGAGACCCAGCTCTAGAGATGGTGCCTACTCTAAGGGAAAGCCTTCCAGTCAATTAACCCCATGGCCTGCTCTTGCCCTGGGGCTTGGTCACTGGGGCA